TATTCTGAGGGGTTGTGGTGTTTTGTTTTTTTTGTCGTTTGTTGGCAGGAGGTTTTTTGTGTTGTTTTTTTTTTTCCCCAAGTTTAGGGCTTTAAAATGCCAGGAGCAAGCAGCAATGACCTGTAAGATTCAAGCAGCAGCAAAGTGAACTCAGAGAACACACATCTGCATGAACGGTCTCCACCTTTGAGAGGGGCTGGGGAGACCTTTTTTTTTTTTCTCTTTTTCTTTTTTACTTAAGCTGCTCAAGACTTATGGTAGCTCTGTGACTGATGATGTGAAAGCAATGCACAATTGAAATGAAGGGCTAAAATGTTGGTGAGAGGGGTCTTTAATGTCCTGTTGAGTGACAGTGTGGGAACAGTGAAAGGCAAACAGCCTTCCACAGATCAGCCACGAAGTGTGCATAGGAAGTGTGGAGGGCACGTGAAAGATTTTAGAGAGGGGCTTCCAAAGGGAAGGTTGATTATGGTGGTTTTTAATTAAAGGGATAGTAAGAGCTGGTGCAGACAGAGGAGCAAATACCTGAGAAATGAGGGTCAAACTGCTGGCTTTTGAAGCACTGTTGAGTGCTAACAGCCTGCTGGGCTTTAGCTGGATTCTGCAGCCGTGTGACTTGCTCCATCCACCACTGTGCACGTATGAATGCACAAAAACAGGAGAAAGCAAAAACCTTTAACTCTTCTTGCAGTATTCAGAGAAGAACTTCCAGTCTCAGTGACCATTGCCTGGTTTTGGCAGACTGTTTTCTGATGCATAATCTTTCCTCCTGCATTTGAGATCAACCAGGACAGACTAATCCCAGGATTAAGATGGATCAGATGAAGGGCTGTTTCCATAGCAGATGCTGTCATATGAGTGCTGAGTTCCTCTTGTGATAGAACAAGGCCATAGGGCAATGCAGACAGCAGGACAAATCCTATTTGTCTTGACTAATTGTCAACTCAGTCCTCATTCCTTTTTCCACTGCAGAAAACAAATCATCCCAAGCATCCAATTAAGAGACCGAACTGGTTGAAATTCTAACCTTGTATTTACATCCCCTGTGAATAACGTGCTGCACAAAGGTTTGCATTAGTTCGTGTTTAACTTGTTGAGTAGCACTTTGTGTGGCCCTGGAGTCAGTGTCCCTGGAGGGGACTGCCTGCTGACTTACTCCAAGGATTGCCTGGTGTAGCTGCACATCCACAACCGTGCTGGAAAGGTCCAAGAGCTACCCTCAGGAATGGCTTATTTGTTAGACCTGTGTAAGTTCTTTGACAGAAATTGATACTACTGAAACACTTCCGTAAAATCACAGCAGTTTATTGCACTGTTCTCTATGGATCAGGCTTTCTACTAAACAGAGAAAACAAGGTTATCTATGATGTGTAGCTGTTATTTCAATATTTACATTGCAGATCTTACTGACATGTCCTTCTGACACAAAATGTAGTTACAGTTCCTATGACAACTGTTCCTCTCTCATCTGGAGCATGGACTAATGATAGTTTCATAACACGATCACGTAACGCTGGGCACTGGGACAGCCTTGTCATCTCTGCTCCGGTTTGCTCCTAAATGGCATTTAGCTGAAGCCCACTTGTGTTGTGCAGAGCAGGAACTGGAGTGACTGACCTTCACTCTGCTTACTGCCTGTCACCTCTGAATTCCCTGCTTCCCGCTTTTCATTAGTAAACTCGCTTTCTTTCTACCAAAATACATTTGGTAGGATGAATTTTATTGACCAAAGCTTCTAGGTATTTATTTTTGTGTTAGCAATTAAATGCAATGACTAACATTAATTAAAAACAGTATCTTAACAAGTACACAGACTACTAATCTGTATCAAAGCAATCTGCTGACAAAACTTTGTGCATATAGCAGACTGAGTAAACGGGACTATGCAGCAGATTCCTGCAGTTACTTCTGCAACACAAATAGAGAAAAACTGTAACAAGTTGAGCAGATATATTAAAAGACTTTATTCACAATAGAGAAATTTTTACAAATATAAGTTCTTAAAAATTAAGCATCTTGATCTATTATGTATTCCATAATTTCGGTTTATATATAAAGATGAAAAGACTAAATAGACCATGTACAAATCAAAACCAATTTAAATACATGACAGAAACGGATAATCTGTATGATGAAGTCACCATAGAAACAGTGAGCCATTGGGCATTGCAAAAATCTGTGTATAACCAATACATATGCAATACTTATCTCACAAACAATCAAAACTTTTTTTTTTTCCCCTGTGAAACAATGTGGGTGCCATTTAAAGTGATCTACCATTTAGGACTTGACATATGCAGATTTAAATGTATTCTTATGGTGCAAAGAAATGAGAAAGTATAGGTGGTGTGTTTATGCAAAGATAATGTCCTCCCTCCCCCTTTGCCTAGGAATACAGAGTGACCACCAAGAGTCACTGCCATGCAGCTAGTTAAGTGAACAGGAAATTAAGTCTATGTTATCTCAGAAATCTAACAAGCAGTGTTAAGTACCGACTGTTTCAAAATGATTGCTTCAACTTTGGTGTTCTTGCATTATTTAAAAAAAAGGAAGAAAAATCAATATATTCTTAGTTCATGAAAATGTCATTTTCTTACATTTGGCAGATCTACACGTTGTACAATCTTCTCGTCTTACTTATATTAGTTTACAAAAAGTACAGTATAGTGCAGTTTGTACATACAACCTGAATACCTATACCAGTCACATAAAATTTGTGCTCTTTCAAATCACTGTAATTCCAAAACTAAAAAAAAATTAAAAGAAAAATCATACTACATGTTTGTATTGCAAGGAAACAGTCATGATGCTTATATTTAAGTATATACGACAAGTGTTTTTGAAACACGAGAAGAGCTCTCTAGATCTCCACTGTTTTTCTTCAGCTTATTAAGTAAAGGCAAGATCACTAGACCCAGCTGGGGGAAGCATACTGTGGTTCAGAAAACCATGAAAAAAAGCAGCTTACAAAACACACTTCAGGGACTGTTTTTATCTGAGCTAGTGTAGTTATTTAACTGATATGAGGCCTATTGCAGCACATGCACAACCATGTGGTAGGCAGCAGCAGATGACCCAGTAAAGATAACTATGACAAAAGTAATTATTATTACTTTTTCGTTAAAGAGGGAAGAGAATTTTTCGCTTTATTCCACAGATGTAATTTCTCTGGGTTACTTGGTTGGGGGGGGGAATCCTCAAAACAATAAATGACAAAACTCCCTTAAATACTGTTTCTGAAGAAATACAATGAATTATTATAGTTCTCCAACAATGCAAATTCTGAAGTATTAAAATCAGCAAGAGTTCTGCTTTTTCAACAGAGGAGAGCCAAGACTTCATCCTTGCTCTTTCAGCTTAAGAAAACTGTTATCATGACAAGAGAGAGTCCATTCTTTAGAAAGCAAAATTATATATATTTTTAAGAAAAAAAAAAGGCAGTAAAGCAAAAAGTCCTGACTCGGTGTGCCAGTTTGGTGTAAGCAGGTGTTATGTGAGGCAGAGGCACGTGTGTTTGTGTCCATTCTCCCAGCTCTGGGTCACCCAAGCTCAGCAGGGAAGCCCCAAGTAACGTGCAGGTATGAAAGCAGAGCTCTGCCTGTCCTGTGATGGAAGGATCAGCACTGCTGAAGGTCTTCTTGCTTCGTTCCCTACATAAAAGTCTTTGGTAGCGCGTGTGACACGTGCCATCTTCTCTGCTTTCCCTGCTGACAGCGAGGCAGTGCTCATCTTCACAGACTCCAGAGGGTCAAATGTGTGGGTCAGCCTCCAGCTGCTATATATAAAAAATGTAATCCATTATCTTTGCTCTTGGCTTCTACCCAAGCAAAACTACATTGTAGACCTCTGTCATTATAAAAGAAAAACATACTTGGTAACGCCTAAACGAACGCGCTTTCTCAGCTGTGATTAGCTATGCTGGACGTGTGAGCTATCTTACTAAATACCTTTAACAAGGATTACTGTTCAGAACCATGATTGTTTTGCTGCAGTCAAATCAGTGAATCATGTGCTTTCTCAGAATGGGAAGCCAGGTGTTATATCCGACTCAAAAGCTATGAAAGTCATCCTGTCATTAAATGAAAACATAAGTAGACTTAATAATCACATAAACCACTCCAAACTGTACTAATGTAGAAACAGGAATTAATCAGTTCTAATTATTTTTCGCTTTGGTGATGCTACAAAGTAAAATGTTCTGGGCAAAGCTGTTACCATTCTTAGTAAGCCAGGCATCTAATGTAGGGACCAATTTTAAACACAGTGTGTTTCTGTCGCTTAGTGAAGACCAACTCGGTGCTTTCAGAAAGTTTTGTACACTGGATAATTTCCTCTCTGAATGATTATCTATCTTCTTTTTTTTTTATTTTAAAGTGACAAGTTGTCTGCAAGGCATCTGGACAGCTAATTTTATTCATGTAGATACATTAAATTGCTTTCTAATAATAAACTATCAAATCTAGTCTCAAGTCTGAACCTAGCTAAGTGTTTGAGAAAGTCCCAGAAACCAAACAAATTGTCTCTGGTGTAATTCTCAGCTTCCAAGAAAAAGTCATTAAATATTTTTTTTGTCTTTTTACCATCCAATCAAATAAAAGCTACTGGAATAAATACATGAAGAAGGTAAGACCCCCTTTCTTAATATGAAATGTCTATCTTATTTTACTCTGTATTAGCCTGACTAAAGACATGAGACTAACACCACTTAGAAAAGGGAGGAAACAATTTATTCTATTACAATATTCTAATCAAATCCTGAAAAGCTAAGGTCTACTAACGAATGTACTAAATTCATAAAAACTAAGTTAACTCTAACTTCAATGTATACTGCAGTTTCAGTTTTGTCTGCATGAGATGAAAATATTCCTCTGTAGACTTCATTGACAATGAAATACATCGGACACTTTACCAAGTAATGATAGACCCGCATAAGAAGAGGCTGTCACAGTCACAAGATTTGTCTTGGATGACACACAAAACAAAATAACATAGAACAAAAAAAAAGAAAAAAGCTCTTTATACTTAATTCAGTATGGCTTTTTGCAACATGGCAAAATATTACAGCTTAAAGCAGACATCTCCTCACAGAGGAGAAAAGAATTTTGCAGTCAAATTAAATTCTAACAGGAAACAAGTAACATGCAGACCCTCTGCTCTTTTTGGCCAAGATGACACTGCAGCCTAACTAAATCTGGAGAGAGGTGCTATTTCTCTTCTAAGTGGTTCAGCTGGATGAGAGAACTGAAGTTCTATCATAATCAGTTGGTGTTCATTCATAAATATTTACTCTTCAAGAAAACAGACTGCAAAACACTTGATTAAAAAATTTAACTCAGGAATTTAAAACCAAATAATGTGCCCAAGTCCTTGAACGAAACATAAGGAATGAAACAAAGTATAACTTCATCTATTTCTGGTTTTCTTCTTTATTTCCCTCATCTTTGTGAAGAACAGGGAGAGGATGAGCCTCTGTGTTGAAGACCCAGTGTTCAAATGGAAGAAGATCATCTTCAGAAAACAGTAAATACAAGTACCTGTCAAGAGAAAGAAAGCAGGAAATGTGACCACATCAGGGATATGAAACTACAATAGTTTTCAAGAAAACATAAACACCTGATTTCCCTAGATGAACATATCAATGGAAAAAGCTGCCCAAACACAAAACACCGGTTAATCCCAGCATCACAACGATTAGCACAAAAGCTTGGGGCTACTCAACTCAGATTGGACTCAAGGGCAACAGCACCTGGAGACCAACAAAAAGAACCCCTCTATCCTGACAGAGGACAAAGAAGTTTAGGCTGTCAAGGTTAAATATCAGTTCACTTCCATTTAATCCTCGTAATTTTATTACATATTGGTTTGATAGTATACAACCACAGTAATTTTTATCCTCCAGATTGCTGACATATATCAAGGTGTAGGAATTAAAATATTGTAGTTCAATCCTGTCTTACTACTGAGGAACAAGTTCTGGCTTAGGATTTTTAAAGAAGAAAACTAGCACTAGACCAGTAACTTGGGTATCTATTTACCAAGACAGGGTCAATTAAATCCATCATTAACCAATAAACAAATCCAACACTTTATTTATTGTCATGATACAAGGCTGTAGCTACCGTAGCATGATTATTGAATTCTGCTTAGCAAATGAAATTTTTTTTAGTTTTTTACTTGATCAACATCCCTTCCCTGAAGGCTTTTCTTGTCTAACTCTGATAGGCAAATATAAAAGGTATAGAAGAGGGAGAACACTATCTCAAAAAAATGCCACTAAATATCATAAATTTATTTATATTTCATTTACTCGACTATTACATGTTCTGTTGAAATGGCATGATTGCTTCTTTCTGGTCTTTGCAATTTTTTTCTTGCACAGAAAAAAAAAAAGTGACGAGACCAAGACAAAACTTCCTTATTTCATTGAATACTTAAGAGACAGTGATAGATAAAGCTTTTGTTTTTCTCTTGTAACAGGCCCTGCGAGCTTACCATGCAAGATGACTTCTTATTTGTTTTTCTGTAGTTTTAAAATAAAAGGTATGCAATACAAGCCTGATAAGTCCTCTGTCCAGTCAATTTGTTTCAATAGTGCTGGCATATATAATTAGATCCCATAAAAGCTAGGAGATGTCATTTCTCAACAAAGACTACCAAGTACCTTTAACAGGAGTAAATACAATTTCCAGAGGTCATAGAATTTAGTTGATTGATATAGAAGGAAGAAAAGGCAATTTTTCTTCCCATCACTTAAGAAAAGCTCTACTACTTCAGTCAGACTTTGTTAGGTGATGTTAGGGACACTATTAATTATCATTAAATTATGATTGTAAAGATGATACATACAAATACTTCATATTAATGAAGGTCAACTTTCTTAACTTACTTGAGTGTCTCTGAAAGGAAGAAACTTTGCTGCACGTCGTCATGGCTTTCATGATTGTTATAAACATCTCTAATGCCAGAATAGCCACCATCTACTCTGCAGTGTTTTTCAAGTGCCTGAAGAGGGAGGAAAAAACCCACAAACGGGATTAACGAAATGAATAATCTGTCAATTCTTTTGTTTGACAATAAAACTAGCAAAAAAAAATCACAATTTTTTGATAAAGAGATGAAAACGAGACAATTTAGTTCAAAAACTCTTTTTAAGAAGACAGAGGCATGTATCTAATTTTACATTTAGGAACAAAAGCAAAATGGTAAATTAATAAAAGAAGGGAACACAAATGGGCTTTCAGAAGATATATGGATGTAAAGATATATGGATTTTCACATATTTCCTTTTTCTTCTTTTAATAGGCATAATCATTGCCTCTCTCTCACAGGCCTGTCTATCAGCCATGAGAGATTGTGTCACATATACCTTTCCTGGTCCTATTCTAGAGCTTAAAAAGTATTGCTATAGAATTGAATACCATAAGGACCAGTCTTTACCTCCTGCAAGTCACTTCAAAAAGGAAAGGCAACTTCATTTTCTAGGCAAGTTGTTTGGTTTCTCTTTGTTATTATTTCATTTTTCAGTATGAAACATCTGATGGGCTGTGACTGAATTTCTTTTCTGCAGTGAGTACTAGTTTTCTTTGATGCCTTTGTCTGTTACGCAGAACTAGCCAAAAAGCTAGTATGTGGCTGGACTTCATGCTACATGCTTTAGATATAAGAATAAATGGGGAGTTTTTTCTCTAGCTAGTTTCCAAACCACATATTTAGTTAAAAGGTGTAAAACAGGTGACTGATTCCTATTTTATAATAAAAAGGAGCACATGGACAACCTAGAAATATAATTTATTTTCTGCCCGCAGGAATGTTTTATATGAACAGCTTATTTTGAAGGAGAAAAAAAGATCAGATGAAGGGTGTATACAACAGAAGGGCAAACAATATGTACCTGGCACTAAAAATGTAGAAGGTACAGAGTCATACCATTTAATAAACTTTGCTGCTTTTCCTTATTTTGGACAGGTGTTTGCTTCAGAAAGGTGGTACCTAAATGCCTACCTATGAAGCATAACTTCTTTACATATACTGCTATCCAATACCTTATTTGAATAATAGTTCTTTAATCAGTGCTTTGTTGAAAAATATTAATTCATCTTTTTTCTTTGTAACTGACCTATTTAACACAAGGTCAATAGTGTTCTTAGCCTCTTAAATTTTTCTTACTCTCTTTTATAATAAATCTCTGTTATCATGCAGTATAGTAAAGGAGTGAAGAGAATCTAAGATGATTGTATACAAAAACAAATCCAGAAAATGGTCTTTAGCCCTAACTAACTTCTCACAATGAAAATTACAGCCCCAGGTGGAGAGGTGGGAGACAACTAGTTCCTTAATTTCTGAAGTTATTACAAGTATCACTGAAGTGATTATATGATGTGTAGATTTTATTTAGGGTGAGGTGCTGCATTTCAGACAACATCTGGCAAAAAGCTATGAAAAGGCAGAATCATAGAACGCGTTGGGCTGGAAGGGACCTTTAAAGGTCATCTAGTCCAACTCCCCTGCAGTGAGCAGGGACATCTCTAACTAGATCAGGTTGCTCAGAGCCCCATCCAGCCTGACCTTGAATGCCTCCAGGGATGGGGCCTCCACCACCTCAGAAGATTTGTCTAAAACAAGCAAGCAGGCAGAATAAGCATGTTCTGATGAGAGATGGGACTAAAAGTCACTACTAAATTAGAGGTATCCATCACTTCCACCTCCTCTAAAAGCTGTTCAAGATCTGTGTTTTGCTGGGAGCAGATATCCTAAACGTCCTTGTTTTTGCCAGAGTCCCTGTACCTATCTGCATGTATTTAGCTTGCATGTCAGGCTCTCCATACTTTTCACTGGAGACTAAGCTGCCTATTATATATATTTAAAAGGGATTTTTCTCCAGGAGAGATCCTTTAAAATACAACAGGCCTATTTGTCTTTTCCTATGTGTCTTTAGGTTCTTTAATTTTGCTGGACACTTTTACTAAGTGACATACTTAAGTTTAAACAAGTAATTTCCCCTGGCTCATACTCCTTCCCTCTCGTCTACTTCAACCTGCAATGAATTCAAAATGCTGAAGCTGCGTCTGGATTTTCAATGTCAAACACAAGATTATGTTTTCCAAGGCACAGCAGAAGGAGAACTTGAAGGGTAAGGCTATTATTCAAGGAAACATCTGCATTCCATACAGGGTGAGGTAAAATAAAAGCAAATTGTATTTGTGGCTTACGTGCTCTAGCACATAGTTAGAGCCTTCTTTATGAGTTTGCTGTAGGGCAACTCCGTACAGGTAGCTGAATGCATGGTGGTGATGTAAATTAAGAGGTTAACATGCACCATGTTAGCCACCCACTGGTAGCTACTTGATGCAGATGTGAAGAATCTTGCCCCTCAAATCTGCTTTCCACTTAACTAAAGGAACAGGATGCTCATGCTCAGCACTAGTATGATAAAAAGGCTCTTGATCATCACCTCCCTTTAACTGGCCGTAACGGCCCTTTATGCCTGTACCTGCAGTTTCGGAGCACAGCCATGCCCATGCAGACAGCGGGGTAGTGGTGGGTGGGAAGAAACAATCAAATGCATTTTAAATAGTAGTTCTCAGAAAAAGAGGGTGGCTAAGATTAGTTATGCTAGAGTAATGGAAAACATCAAGCAGAACGAACTGGCTGACAGTCTCAAAGTATCATAAAGGAAAAAAAAAACCACAAAGGAAGTGCTATGAATTGAAATTATGTGCCACATTTATAATGCAGAAAGGGAGACTTTCATGAGCTAAGCTGATAAAAACCTTTCTGACTCAGTAACACTGGATATTGCTGTTGGTCATAATTGCATTTTCTCCTGCTGCTGAAGTACATATAGAATGATCTCGGACTCAAGTTAAAGCAGCACAGCAAGTTTCCAAAGAAAAAAATGGAGAGGCTAGAGCATAGTTTTAGTCTATAAAAGTCAGAGAAACAATTAACAGACCTGTTGGAGAGTTTAGAAGTCGTGACTTATAGAACAGCCTACTCTTCTACTACAAAGGCACTGGGGAAAAAAAAATAAAATCAAACCTAAGGAGTTCCTTGCCACTGCCATGAGTTGAAAATAGACATGAAACACCTCAAAGAACAAATTTTTTGGGGCAATGACAAATAGTCTGATTGTTACCCCTTTTCTTCTTGTTTCAGTCTCAGCTTCCTCTTTGTGCAACAGATGTTGGTAATTACACCAACCATATTCAGCGGTTAGGGACTTCCCCAAGAACAAAAGAGTAATATGCTCTCTGGCGCAAGAATAAGGAGCAAAAGGAAAATATGAAATAGTTGTAAGTAAGCTATCATGGCATGTGCAGGAACAAAAAAAAAATACAGTGTAAGGTAAAGCTGTGCAGGCTATAAGCAAGGAAGAAGAGAAAAAAATAATAAAAAATTTTAAACTTACAACTGACTAACTCCTCTGAAGCTATAAGATTTGTATAATGAAATAAGCAACTGCATATTAGGACAGTGGAGGACAGGCCTGTACACAATGGGAGTAGCTGCATCTCCCACACATGGGCTGCAATCCACTAGGTTAGAGCCAGGCAAGAGCAACCAAAGGAATGTTAAAACAAGGAACACATGGGGAGCACTAAGAAGGTAAATGAGTGTAAAAACTTGAAATAAACACAAACAAACTGAACCAACAGGGTAAAGAATAATAATAAAGAAAACATTTCAATTGCTTATAACAATGTTATCAGTGTGGGCAGCAACAATGATTCAGGAAAAACACCTCCTGGAGAAGGAACGCTTGGCGTTGCTGAAGCCTGGTGGGATTACTTCCATAAACAGCCATTGTAAATATTCTAATTATAATCTGCCTGGGAAAATTCCAGTTGTAAAATGTGTGCCTATGGGTGGTGTTAGTGAAGAAGAAAGTGAGGGAAGAGCACTCTAAACCAGAGGTTTTGAAAAATAAAAATTGCTTTGGAATCATTAACTCAGAAGCATATTGTTTCAGGACTGACAGAACCAACACCCAAGGGAGACAAATGAAATATCCTAAATAACTACAGTCTACCTAGCTGATTACAGTGTTCACTGTAGATATGTAATTGCTGTGAATATTCAAAAGGAGAAGTTAGAGATTAGAGGTATAGTTAATTCTAGCTGCTATTCTTTTACAAAAAGCAGATTTAATCATAAATTCATTCTTCAAGAATATCTGTTTACCAAACTTGAAACACTTTTTTTCACAGCACTCGGAATACCTTCAGTATGTCACACAGTAAATACCGGACTGCAGTTGAGGGAGCCAGGCAGATGTCATGTCACAGCCAGGTATATGGAGCTGTAACCCAGTAAGAGCTCTCTAGCAGGGTCCCTCGGGGATGAGAAATTATCCAACACAAGACTACATGTTCTTCCCTTATTGTAGAGCAGCCTTCTACAACTAGCAATGTAGGCTCATCCAAGAAAGTTATAATCATACACTCGTAGAAACAAGAGGTATTGGGCAAACTGACAAACAGGACATTTTTTAAATCCTAAAAAGCAAGACCTCTGCAAAGGAGAGGTCACCATGAGCAAAACATTGCACAGAGTCGTTTGGTTTGGGTTAGTTTGTGGGGTTTTTTGGTTTTTTTTTGTCATTTTTCTTATGTTTATAGTGCCACAAGAATAATGTTCTTCAGCTTTCTCTATCTCCTACAACATCTCAGTCTACTTAGAAATTCCAAAGAATGAGTGAAAGACAGGAAATTTAGCAAGGGCAATATCAATGTGAGAAAGTAAGTGAACTCTAGAAGTATAATAAGGATCCTTACCTGGCAGATGAAACATGATAAATCCAAAGGCTCTCATCTCTAACAGCAAGAGTAATTAACCACCAAAATAAGGGAAACAATGATTTAGCAAGCCAATTTTTGTTGTATAGACTAGCTGACCTCTTGGAAGGCTTGTGCCAGACAAACACAAATAGCCAGCTTCAGCATGACTGGTTGAAGCTCAAAGGCTAGTGGGACACAGAAATGTAAATCTAGAAAAGATTGTTATCATTAATGGAGATCAGTCCAGATGATCTACACTTTCTGAAAGTGAGACATCCTTTAAATGTTTGGTACTATCTGCTACTTCATCTTGGCCTTCATCACCTGAATTAAAATCACCTGCACACAACTACTGTTAAAAATACACTTCATAAAACTTATTTTCATGCTGAACACTCAAATCTGACACATATTTGCACCTTCCATTTGCATGCAGTAATACTCAACTTCTTGAGCAGTCATCCAAATATGACCCTGATCTGAGAAGTACATAATTTTGATAAAATATGACCCTGATCTGAGAGTACTGAAGAAGGAGAAATCACAAGGTATTTTTCTAATACACAATACCAGCAGCTCATCTATTTAGTAAATTAATTTCTGGAAATCTGAGCTCATATTACAGATTTAATATAAATATTTCCTCTCCAACTGCAAAAAAAATCCAGATTTCATTCAATAGCTCACTTAACAGGATATTAGGTTTTAATAAGAAAACAGCTCAATAGAACATTACCTCTACAGCTTCCCATCCCCACTGCCTGTACTTTGGGTCATGAGTGAGCCGCCACATGTACATGTAGGTCTCTATGACTTCTGGTCGTAGGATGTAGTATTTTTCATTTTGCCTTGTAGCAATGGCCTCAACACCACCATCAAATCTGAAGGCTTCTGGTCCCAGTTTCATGCCTAGCCAATATGAAAAAAAAAACCACGCTAAAATAAAGGCATTAAAAATGTTTCAAATTATGTAACCTACCAAATCAACTATCCTTTCATGTGGCACAAAGCCAGGTTAGTCAAAATGTATACAATTTCTGAAAGATACTGTAGCACCCTCCAGTTTTTAATATTTTGTAAATAATTCAGACTAGGAGAGAGCTGTTCCTCATTAATATCTTAAACAGAAATTCCAGTTTGAACAGTGATGCTAACATTTGCATTCTGGAAGCCTTCATATAACTAGCAACATGTGAAATTTTGCTTAAAAGATGAGGAGATTTATTTTTCTGTATCAAACTAGAAAATACACTCTGGGACCTGAAATGCTGCCAGGGTTATTTCTATAAGAAGATGAAAGAATCCAAAGAAATTTCCTGCACAGAAATCCACCTTCTTTGTGCAATTCTATTCTTTGTAGCATTGTACCAACAGAACTGAGGATAAAAATTGTTTTTTGTGCATAAAATATGATCAATAGCTATATTGATAGATAAATGAACAGGGTCCTCTCTTGTTTGAATTTGGCTACACAGAAATTGGCAAAGTGGAAAAAAAAGCTGTCAGGTTAATTACTAGAGTGAGTAGATACCATTCAGGTGCAAGAAATTATTTATAAAACAGAGCAGCCATTCTTAAAGTTACTCTGAAGAGGAAGGCAACATTCGCTCAGAAAGAATGAAGAGCTCTCGCCATCATACAACTTCCATCATACAACTTCCATCATACATTCCATCATACATTCCATCTCGCCATCATACAACTTCCATTCAGCAAAATACCGATGGCTGCCGTCACCAAGTCAACCCGTAAAACTGAATTCTGCAACACAGTCCTTACTTGTACGATCATAGGATTCGTGGCAAGTCCTTGCAATTTCAGCACCGAGCTCGATGTGATGGCCCGTCTTGTCGCTGGGGGCTCCGTCTGCTCCCAGGGCAAACATGCCTCCGGCAAAACAAGTGAGATGTCCCATCTTGTGTTCGAGCAGCCCGCCCTTCCACTCAGCGATGTATGTCAGCCCCCCGCTTGATTTTCGAATGAGGTGGGTCTCTATGGCCTGCAAAAGTATGTGATTTCAAAGCAAAGGTACCATGTGGTAAAGACATGAAGGACAAAGACAAAGCTGGCTTGTACGTTGGTTGGTTTTCCTCTGCAGCGCCTTTGCTGATAAAGTAAAATGGCTAATACAAGCTAGCGTAACCTCGAAGTGCAGCCACACTAACACAGATGAGCATTCATCAGTAACTATGATTAGTTTTGCTATGCTTGGAGCAATTTACACAGTACATGCTGTAAAAATATTGGAAAGACCCAAAAAATACAATTTCATTTTAAGACTTTTATTTCTTACTCTTTCTGCTTTGAGCAATTTCAGGTAATTCACCATTAGCCATCACCTCAGCTTCCATGCTTCCCATTTTAATTCTGGCTTAAAGGGTGTGGTTATTGATATAACTTCATCTCAGTTATATGCAGGCATAACTCATACTCAAAACGTCTGATTCAGTGAGTGCACTGAATGATGTCAGGCCTCTCAGTCTATATGCCATTCCCAACGTCCAGTGAGTTTCCTCTTCTAAACTGAATTTCCTCTGCAGTTATCAAACAAGAATAAGGTCTCACCGAGACTTCTGGGAAAAACAAAATCCTAAGCAGAATGAAAATATACAAATCTCCTAGAGATAAATAGAAATTGGTGCTGTTAGTAATGTATAGCCACTAATTACAAAATCCAGGAAAACAGCTTTCCTTTGTCGGAGGAACAGAATTAAAACAAGAGAGGAGATGCAGAAGAGCACATTAATTAGAAGCCCACACAGAAAGCAAGCTATTACTCTTCAAAGGGTAATGGAGAGGAGATGAACAGTGCTATAGTACATTCAGTTACCCAACAGTGCTCTGGTTTGTTCTATAAAAATTATAAGATCCAGAAGCAGTACTCAACATGCATTATACAAGAGAAGAAACATGAATAAAATATCAGTACAGAGAGCTATTAACAAAAAAGCCAGGATTTTTAAAACAAGTTTTATACAGAGAAGGTATTGATTGTAGTTATTCTTCCCATTTAAACATCTGCAAAGGTTGTTTTTATAAGCATGAAAAAACTTTTCTAAACTAGACACATCAGCAGAATGATTGTACAAGTTTTACTTACTAAGTAGGCTTTTTTGTGCCAAGAATGTCACATTGAAAATTATACTTTGTCTTCCTCTAAAACTAGTGCAAAGCTTGTGTTAGGGATGTTTTCTGCCCAGCTCCAGATGCACTATTGGCTCAGAAAATTCCTCCATCCCTTTGTTTCCTCCTTGCTTGTATGTTTTTAGCACTAGGTACCTACTGAAAAGCATACCTAAATTTTAAAGCAGCAATAAATTATGAGGACTCCAGTGCTTTAGACAAATCTTGCATAATTTACCCCATAAAAAGAGGAAATAAATATGAAAAGGCAAAGGTGGGCAAACAGTTTCCTTAAGGATCCAAACCACAGACCCTGCAGTAGAAGATGAAAGAATTACAGAGGCTGAGTAGATGTAGAGTGAATTGGTGGTTGTGTATTCCAAGTGAACATAAAAAAAGCTTTTCTGTCAGGTTGAGAAACTAGGAGTGGAATACCTAGGTACTTTTTTAAAAAAAAATAATGTTCTTAAAAAACATCTTTTGTGCTTGTTTGGGTATAAAATATTTAAATTTATAATTGAAGAACTGACAGAACGGAATTCAAAGAACCTGCTACAAAATGTATTAATGCATAAACAAGCAAAATTTGTGAGAAGATAGAAAAAATTGGAAAAAATCCAGAACCTTTTATAGTGCTGTTTGCATTTTTATTAAACAGCTTATACTTTATAATAGGATGCCTTACTGTTACAAACACACAATTTTGGGGGAAATAGCTTTCAGACTACTTAGGTATTCTAAGAAATAAGCTACCTGCAAACCAAGTTCAAAAAAGAAAAACTTTCAATTTAATGACATTTCATTACACCTTTCAGCACAGTATCCCCATGTCACCAAATCAGCACTTCTGGCAATAGTTGGTAACTTTACTGGTCACTTACTTAGTTATTGAATCAGAATTAATTTTAGGAATAAAGAAATATAAAAATAGATTGACAACTAAACTTACATATGTTGCAATTTCTTTAGTAAAGAATTAGTGAAAGACAATGAACTATTACTGTACCTGACAGAAATAACAGTAATCACGCACCTTCAGAACTACAGTAACTAGACCAGAGTTGTTTCTTGTAGTATGAAAATGGATTTTGTCTTTCAGAGCTCTTCCCTGCTCCTTTGGCTCAAGATTAAATTTCAGGCTGAAAAAAGATTACTTCCATGTGGGAAATTTTAAAATTATGCTAATAAACTGGTGTTAAGAAACTAACAAATTGATGTTAATTGATGCTAATACTGTCACAAAATAAATTTCCAAATTAATTATTCATGTTTAGCAAAGCAAATCGTCTTAGTTTTATAAATGGGTCCTATTAAGGATGAGTACATATGCTTATTAGAAGTTATTTTTATTGAGTAAGAGTCTTATTTAAAGCTATTTTTATTAGGTATTTATCTGATATATTACAGCCTCTCAAATTGCCTTGTCATACTTTACACAATCACAGGTGCCTGACTGCTAGATGTATAGACATTTATTAACAGCATGCCAGGTAACTAATCATTTCTACCTTGACATGAAATCCAAATAACCTTCGATATGTACAAATAACCTTCAAAAGCCATAAGCCCAAGTGTGCCAAACTTGCAAGTCCTTCAGCTCTCAACAAACCAGAAGACAGGACAACAAATACTCTAACTTGCTAAAGCCTAAACTTCATTTGAAGCTTGATGCTTATGAAAAAATAGTTTGCAGAGGTAGTTACGTGATTTAAGCAAACTGACCTCAACTGAACTGCTTTCATAAAGTGTGAAAAAGGCCGAGGATCGCCTCTTCCCACAGGGCTGTGGTAGCTCTTTCTGGGGTGCTCACAAAATCCCTGCCAGGGAGGTTATGGTGGGGTGGTCAAAAGCTTCAGCTAAACCTGAGAAGTTCCTTCATGGGCCATTTTCGGCCTGAGCTGGCCAAACTGTTTTCATCAGCCATCGGTTTTCCTCCTCTCATCACTATCCATCTACCCTCTTGCCCTAAAACAGCTTTCACCAAGGGGTTGCTAATGAATTCGCAGTATAGAAGCTGGATGAAGTTTGGAATAATTCCTGCATGGCATCAAAGAGTCAGCTTATATTGAATTTGTTAGGTGTCTACCAGTGGTTTCAGTAACTCAGTATTAAAAAAACGTTATTATAAAACATCAGCATATTTAGAAAGCCTCAAAACTATTAATGCTTTTGATCTTAAAAAAAGTATAATCTTCAACTCCCCACCATTAAATATTGATAAATATATTCACTGGAATTTTGAACTCCTCTATTGATAACAGCATTTGTAGCATTAAGATGTGGTAAAACCTTCCTTTTCCCCACAGGTCCAACCTAACTCTAGTTTAATTTCAGAATTTACTTTCAAATATTGTTAAAGCACTGCTTCTGGAATATAATGTTTGCATAATGCAATAGTATAATAGAATCTTTTTGAAGTAAACAATAAGCAAAAATTGGTACTCTTTTAATTATCAGTTCTGAATTTATATTTAACTGCCAAAGTGCCATTTATCATCTGTCTATTGGAAATTCACAAAACTGCTATTCAAGAAGTTTTTTTGGGTGTGTTTTTTTGTTATAATTTAATGGTTTTTACTTCTGTGAGTACCACATCAAAATATTTTTCAGTGAGTTTTGAAAAGGTTGTTAGTGCCATCAGGTTAGACATGAATTTTTTTAATAAGCTTGAAGTCCAGAGCAGGGTTAAATCACTAGCTGGAATACATGGGCAATTGTTTAAAGTATAAAAAACCCCAAATCTTTAATATAAACTTGAGAAATACTGTCACTTTAATTGAAGATATAATAAGGGTCCCCAAACTTGAGCAGTAGAGTGGAAAGGTAGGGTTACAGTCCCATAGGGAAATGCTATTTGCTATCTGCAATGCTCTGAGCCCACTTCTGGCAGGGAAATCAAGCTACTAAAATAATTTATTATATAAAAGGAGAATAGATAGTATGGTGACTAAGATCTACCCAAGTGAAAAGCTTTGTTTGGTAGAATTACTTCTGAATATCATACTTAGAATCAATTTACTTTTATTTTTATGTACTTATCTAGTTACTTAAAAAAGAGAGACATTTATTTGAATTGCAGCTCTACTGCAGCTTGGTCCCCTCCTATGAATAATTTCTTCCTGCACTACTTGGAGATCAAGTGGTGTCATATTTATCACTTCAGAGATTATTATTTCATTTTACTGTAACAAATATTCTCAGTATAAAACAATATAAAGGATCTGCAAATAATCAAAAAAGCTACAAGAATGAGATCTTTGCTAGTTGAAAATACATTCTTGACGGGTAATTGTTTGGAGCTGGTACAGTTTTTCTTTTAAGTAAATGGAAATTTCATTTTATTGTTTTCCAGAATGCGTTCCTGCAATTCAAATACTAATTTTTTTTTTTTTCCATCAAGGTAAAGCAGAGAAACTGTGCAACATAAAAGGTTGCAAAGAAGAAGTGACTCCAAATGTATGGTCCCAAATGGAGCACTAGCAAATACTAACCTGGAGTGACCAAAAAAAAAAAAATTAAAAATTGAGACAACCTGACTTTCAATTGTAGCGGATAAGAGAAAATTAAGGAAGAGAAGTTAAAGGAAAATGAAAAATATTTGCCATATATTTAGAGAAATAAATTTACTCCATGTAAAGTCGATATGGCATGCGGCTTGTAGTGTACCTGCAAGCTCTTGCAGCCAGACTAACTTTTATGGCTGATACAGTTCCTAGCAATTTATTTATTTTTCTGTAAGGCTCTGCTTACAGTCCTCACTGCAATAAAGCTTTTAGCTAAATTACTTTTTTTTTTTCCATCTTGTGAAAAACCATTCCTTCTACACAACAACTGTAAAAAATGCTTGAGCACTCAATTAGAAACACTAACAGTCCT